GTCTTTAATTACTTGTTCAATTTGTAAGATTCGGGATCGAAGGACCAATTCGTTATGTGTTATATTAGAAATCATTTTATCGAATTTATCAATCGTAGAGTCCATTAAGGTGATTTGATTGGTTGCGTCCGATTTAAGCTTATTCTGATTTTCTTGTAATAGTTTAATTTTCTCGTCGATTTTCTCGGCGTCATTTTGATCTAGATTTCCAGTAATGACTTTTATAAATGAGCCCAAAGGATTAAATAATCCTCTCTTAATTCTATTCGAATTTCCTACTGTTGGAACAATTTGTTCGATTAGATTTTCTATGCGTTTTTCTAGAGTATGTAGGGATACGAGCGAATTCGTATATTCAATATAGAAATTGTCTTTAGAGCTTATATTGGAAGATAAGCGTCTTGCTTGTATTTTAAGAGAGTCAAATTGGTTTATTATGGGAGTCAAGTTAAAGGTTTGTGCAAAGGACCATGAATTGGATATCATTTTGGCGGTTCCCAACTTGAAAGGAAGGATTCCTGGATTTTTATTCAAGTTATGGTATTTTACGTGGTTTCCAAGGGTCCATGTCCATAGTAGCAGGAATACGATGATTTTCTTCATTCTTAACCTAAGCCCAATAGGAAAAGCGATGCTTGTCTTCTCCCTGGAACTACCTTATGAGCGTCTGGACGATTTTTGTTCCGTTTGCTCGCACCAATAGGAATAGGACGATTTTTGTTCCCGATCTCCCTGGTCTGGGTGAGCTGCGTTGCACCACTTTCGAAAATTTCGTTCGATATTGCCGTAAATCGTTGGAACGAACCGATAACTTTGTCGCACGATGCGCGAAACCGTCAACAATATCCTACCGACTGCGCCAGTTAACAACTCGAATTTTGAGAGTTAGTTTTTAAAAAAAAATTTATTTTCAATGGTGGTTACAATACAACTGACTTAAACCTAAGTAAAATAATATTTATAATTATTAGCTTTGCTGACAAAGCTGTTCCCAAGAAATGCAACGGTCGGACTTGTTCTGAAAACAAAGTAACAAACTGCTGAACTCTTAAGTTTATGAGAATGTAACTGAGTGTTTGTTTTTGCAAATGTTATAGCTAACTCGAGGTCGTTGAGGATTTTCAAGATAACTTGGAGGGCTAAGTTCAGCTGATCTAAGACGTTTCTAGATGATAGAAAATGGGTCGAACAATTTATTTAGTTCGTAGTTAATTTTGTTTGCTTCTTTTTCTCTAGTTTCTTCGTTGTTATAAGGGAGATCGTGTGGTTGAAGTTTTCCATTATTTTGGTGTTACGACTCATCCGCTGATTCACTTGGGAGACGATATTCTCTTGGGTCTGTTGCAATGTTGCGATTGCGGCGTCATACCTTTGGGCGTTTTCGTGGTCCAGGTTTCCTGATATGGTTTTGATACCACTGCCGAAGCCATTGAAAATTCCTCATCTGGATCTTTGGACAGGTATGATGGTACAAAGTTTTTTTCTTTTGCGGCTTTTGACAGAAATTGTAAACTTTGATCGAAATTTTGCAGTCCATTTTCCATTGCTGTTCTTACTGATTCATAATATTCTTCCAGATACTAAAGTTCCTTAATTACTGGGACGAGGTCAAAAAAATGGATAGTCTTGAAGTCTTGGGTATTACTTACTCTCAATCCTTGCTCGTCCCAGCTTGAGGGGAAGTATTCCTGGTTTTTCCTTCAGGTCCTGAATCAGGAGGTTCCCAGCGGCGGCTTAGAAACATCTGTAAGGAATTTCTAGAGTTATTTCCTGGAAGATTTTCAATATTCTTTTTATGTTTTGTCATGTCTTGAGTATCAATGTAAATGTTAACTGTCTTGGGGGAGAATCTTGGAAGTAGGTTTTGCCTAGTTGTGTTTCTTTTTCCTATGTAATTTTCTTTGGATTCATGTAGCTTTTGATCTAATTCCCTGTAGATAGTCTCCGTTTTTTCCCGGTGTTGCTGGTTATAATTATTTATAAGTGTTTTTCTGACATCAACGTCAAACGGATCCTGCGCAGTGAGGTGCCCAGTCTAATATATCCATTGGTCGCATGCTTGTCATTGAATGGATAGAATTATTTGTATCTGAGAAGTGCATATGGCATTTGTTCTTTACCACTTAAGGATTTTTTATTTTCTCGAAGTATCCTTAAGTGTTCGATAATGGTGCAATGGAATCTTTCTATTATCCCGTTGGATTGTGGGTAATCAGAGGTAGTTTAATGAATGTATATATTATGTGTATCCTCAAGTTCCTATATAAGTCCATTCCTAATATCTGTTCTACTATCGGTGACTATTATATATGGTATTCCATAATGGAGGACATTAAGAACATTCACAGAATTTGATCTCTCTATGGGGTAGGCTTGTCCATATTTTGAGAAGAAATCAATAATTGTTAAAAACTTTCGACCTCAGGCTTGAAAGGTATCTATAATTTCCAAAGGTCTAGTCGGTGTTGGAGTAATCATGAATTTAGATTTGGCTGGATTTGTATCGTATTTGTTGGACTGACAGGTGCCGCAATCATTTATGATATTTTCGATATCTCGTTTGAGGTTAGGCCAGTAATATTTCCTTGGGACTTCGGTTTCATTAATTCCTCGATGATTTGTTTTTCCTTGATGGAAGGCCTGTATTTTCTCAGTTTATCTTGCTTTGCTATTGACGTCTTCTAGGAGAAAGTTGCATTTGATAAAGTCAAATCGAGAATTTTTAAAAGTTTCTTTAAGAATGTTGCATAGAGAAACATAAAAATCTTCGTGCTTAAAGAATATTGCATACTTCTTTTTGCGGTCAATTTTTTCTTTAAGAAGCTTTATAAAGCTTCCTTCTAAGTTATTCTTGCTTACTTGGACATATATCCTGGATTTGTTAGGGCTTTGCTGGATTATAATCAATAAGCTTGGGCACAATTTGGTTATTGTAGTAGTTAAGGGTCTTTCGCTGATTGGAATGCCGAGTATAGGTTCTTCCTGAATCCTGAGCAGTGTGTCTAGTTTCATTATTTTCTTCCGGGCCGGCTTGTGTGGGTCTGGATTAGCAAGGATTTCACCGATGAACTTTTGTATCTTCACTTGCGAAGCGGATTTCCATAGAACGTTGTCTATGTCGAGAATTGATGCTGCAGCATTGTTGTACGTTATATTCGTCTTGTGGTGGTTGGGTAATTTCTCTGGTATGGATTTCGACTCTGGACAGAGCATCTGCATTGATGTTTGATTTTCCTTTCTTATAGATTATCTCATAATCAAACTCTCGCAACCTTAAACGCCATCTAACTATTTTGAATTTTCTTCGTAGTTCGCGGTATTGGATAGTCAAGTATGGCTTTAATTTTAATAGGATGTGGTCTTATTCCTTCTGGTATAACAATATGTCCAATAAAAGCAACTTTCTTATTTAGGAACTCGCATTTGTCCGTTTGAATTTCGAATCCAGTTCCTTTGAGACGTTGGAAGATTTTTGAAAGATAAACCAGATGCTTTTGAAGTGATGTGCTGAACACAATGATATCGTCCATGTACACTAAGCAATTTTCTCCTTGGATGCCTTTCAAAACGTTCTCTATTACCCTCTGGAATGTAGCTGGAGCGTTTTTCAGTCCAAACGGCATCCAAACATACTCGTAATGACCATTTTCGACATTGGAAGCAGTTTATCTTCTTTAGCCATTTCGATTTGCTGGGAACCCCTTGCCAGATCCAAGGACGTGAAGTATTGGGATCTACCAAGTTTGTCCAGATGTCTGTTATGTTTGGCTTGGTCTGATAATTCCTTAATTCAGCATTGAAGATATCTGATTTTTCACTTTCCCTTTATGGTTATCTACAATGACATGGTGTACAGTGGAATCTCATCTGTTGTTTTAATATGGTGTTTGATCTGGTTTTTAAAGGTCAGATGGATAATGGAAAATATCTGCAAACGTCCTACATAAATATCGTATTGCTTTTTCTTCCTCTGAATTCAGGTGATTAGTTCTGATTTCAGGAATGTTGCCATGCGTTGACGGATATTCCTGAGAAATTAAATCCGTGGTGTAGATCTGAAACTGATCAAGATTCAACTGCGTGCTAGTGACTGGACTTGTCAGAGGCATCTGAAGTTCTTCATCGGTTGTGTTGATAATTTCAGTCCAAGTGAGTTGATTACAAGCAGATGTGAGTGTTTTGTTAAATTGTGCGCCCTGGAATTCTTGTTTTGGTAGAAGGATCGTAGCCTGTTACTTTTACTGGAAACCGTACTCTGGAAACGGTGTTAGGCGCCAGTTGGATGGAAAATAATTGGGTATTGATCGGTTCGTAGTATTTAATTGGGAGAATGGCGGTTTTTGTGATCAGTTCTGACTCTGGAAAATCCAATTTGGCTTGGAGTAGCTTGAGGTTGGGAGACCTTGCCCTTTCTGCTACCTTCGTACGCTTCTATTATGGGTAGCTATAGATTGATTAACCATAAATATCCTAGAGGTTATCCCACATTTTCATCCTATACCTACCTATTTCTGTAGAAAATTTTCGACCACCATAACTCATGTATCATTTAATTTCTAGGCTACAAACAACACATTAGTGATTTCAGCTGAACCCTCACCCCGCATGTTCACCCCTGCCTCCAGAAATTGCTTAACATCACATTTTCGCTATAAATATCCTGAAAACAGCATATTACACACAGTTCTTAGGTCAACCTACATCCTCATAATATCACCCAATATGTTTGCAAGTTCTGGAAACGACACATGTTTCCACTCATTCTCCCCTATTTTATTCGGATCAAACATTACACTTCTCCGTTTAAAGTATTTTTTATGAGAAAAGCCTAATATGATGAAAATAATAAAAAAGACGTCGCTAAAGAATTTACCCCTCTTCTCACCGTCTTAGGGTAAAGGAATTTTGATAAATTTATTAGGGCATTCTTCGAATAGGGCATACTGTTTTTTGATCGGCAAAATTTAACCTAACAAACATAAAACCAATTTTTTTTCTAGCTGCTCAAAACTGCGATCTCACCGGCATCCTCCTCTACGAAGACATGGGATGCAGGCCGTATTACGATAAGCCTCAAACCCATACACTTAGCTCGTGTCCCTCAAAATACGATTGTTTAGGCCTGAAAAAATCAACTACAAACTGTTTTTTCAAAGGCAAAGCCTATAAACTCAACGACTGGATAGATTCTAAACTGACCGCGGGACACTGTGATTTGGGTTGTTCTTGCCAAAAAAATGAAGACAGGTAAGTAAAAGTTTTCTCGATTTAACGATAACATAACTTTTTTGTGGCCGCAGGCCATTCGAAAAAGTCAGAAATCCTCCACATAAAAATAAATCCGGGTCGGTAAAAAAGTTAAGATGTATTTATTGCAGTTTAGCAGGGTGTTAAGTTGGTGATACGTATCAGAAAACGATAAAAAGAAAGTTTGAGGCTTTCGCTCCGAACTTTTAATTCTCCAATTTAATATTTTTAGGACCAAATTCAAATGCGCCACAGTGGATTGCCCGGAATGGTCAGTTTTGGAACCGCCTACAGGGTGTTATAGGAAATATTCGTTGGACGATTGCTGTTATATTAGAGAAATGTGTCGTGAGTACCTTGTATATAGTTATTTTTTGTCAATCGTATGTTCACTTTTCCTTTTTTCTACTGTAATAACAACACAGAAAAAGGGTCCATGTTTAAACCTAACGTGGTAAAGGAGGAATGTTTTTATGCAGTGAGTGATTGATAATCGAGAAAATGTTGATGGTCGAGATTATTAATTGCGTTTTAATGATCGAGTTAATTGAAAAAATTAAGTGGGCTAACGTTGATAATTTGAAGAATATTTCTAATTATATTAAAAAATACCTTAAAATTAAAATATCGCAGACTGTAAGTTGCTGTATTGGAATTTAGGAGGATACTCAGAACAGTTGGTAGTTTGTTGTTTGTGGTTTGTAGGTTGGGTTAGTAAGTACACCCGGGAAGTTTGGTAACTGGGGAGTAAGAAGAACTCTTCGATTAATACTGATTTTTAATAAACAATTAACAGCTATTAGTCCAGGAGGCTGTGAAATTTTTTAGCTTATTTTCCTAGTTGGTGTATATTAAATAGTTTGTTCTCTTGATCATACAAATTCACCACTGTGGAAGTTGAACCATACAAACTTTCCGAAATATTTTCGATAATTCCTGAATTTGAAGGAGATCAAATTTTCTTAGGAAACTTGCATGCGATTGCGCCTAGAATATGGAAACCACGCAGCCAAAAGTTTTACTTGTTAGTCACATTAAAAATAAGCTCAGAGGTAGAGCAGGTCAACTCTGATAAGTTCCCGAAACCCCAATTCCTATTTGGATATCAAACAACTTCTGAATTTACACTCTGGAGATTCTAGAGATTTCTCAGCTCTTATTCATGGCCTCCAACGACTCAAACAACTACCTGGCGAGTCCCCCCTTACTTTCTACAATAGACTCCAAGTACTGAATGCCAAAATGCATTCTTCTATCCAAAAGTCACCACACCTTAAACAGTATATCAAAAAGAAACACAGTCCTCCCTTGTGGAATCTATGGCCCTAAACACTCTACTTACAGGCCTAGAACCTCGCCTTGGCCAGAATATCAGAGCTGGAAGCCCACATTCTCTTTTAGATGCTCAATATAGAATCAGGAGAGAAATTCAACTTTCCTATTTTGAGAATCAGAAGACTTCAAAACCACCTGTTCAAAAAGTTTTGATCAACAAACCACATGCAATCATCCATAAAATGCTTTTCTTGCGGAAAAATTACCACACAGCCAATCAATATAGACAACAAGCTTCCAGTCGTTCAAACTTCACTCAATACCCGAATCAAAATTTTTTAAAAACGACAACAGCTAACTACTCAGGCACCGCAAACCAACAACCATCAACCAATGTTCTGCAAAATAGAACCCAAAATGCATCCACTTCGAAACAATTCGTACCAAGATACGCTTCAACCATCCCTCAAAGAAACCCCAATTTTTACCCTAACCAGCAAAAAACTTATCTTTTAAATGATTCCTCTAATGGAACATATGCCAACGAATTTGAGTACGCTGGAAGCCCTCATTATGATCAAGGTGCTAGTTATGAAGAAAACGAATATGCTGAACAGTTCACTACTGATCCGAACGCTGGATATTATCAGGATGTTCTGGTACCTTTTACCAATCACCATCCGCCAGAGAATTCCCCTCAAGATCACACTTCGAATATCGACTCAAATACAACTTCTGAATCTACACCATTTCCAATTCCAAGCGGCAGTAAATGACATTTTAATAACCTAAATTATAAACAAACACCAGCCTTCCTATTGGTTGAAACGCCCTACTAGGCCAGGGCAGTTAGCAAAAATAGGAGAAGTTTTTGCAATCAAGCTGATTTTTTCACAGATGATAGTAACCAGCAATACTAGTCTGTAAAAAAAAGTTACACCTCCTAGGAGGCTTGCTTTTTCCGCCATGATGAATTAAAGATGGCGGCTGGTGATATTCTTGAAAAAAATCCTAACTTTCTTATTTATTAACCGATTTCCGTCAAGTAAAAAAAAATACCTTTATTTTTGAATAAAGAATGAAATAAAAATATAAAATTATTTTGACAGGTTGTATTTCTGTCAAAAAAATAAGAATAGAAATTGAATTGGTTCTCTTCAATTTTTTCTGAACGGTAGGTACTTCTTAGTAAAAAAAAATAAAAAATATGCGCTTTTTTCTCTGATTTTGAAACAGTTTTTGAGTTTGTGATAGGTTGAGTAATTCGCGAGATATAGACGAAAAGAACTTGAGAATCCAAAAAAAAAAAAAAACTTCTGCAGGATGTGAAAACTCTATTTTTTGTATACGCTCCCAAAAATAGCTATTTTTTGGATTCATTTCAGTCCGTAAATTGCTTCATTTCCGGCCTAGTCCGTAAATCTTCATTTTCGGCCTACAGCGTAAAATGCTTCATTTTCGGCCTAGTTCCTAAAAGTCGTCATAGCAACCTTGTCAGTTTGCATGTACCTGTCGCACCTGCCAATGCATAATCAGTTCAAAATTTTTAATGTCACATTCACTTCACATCTTTGAGCTAAGGTTGTTTCACGTACCTAAAATATTAGGTTTTTAAGTACCTATCTACTTGTTACAAAAAATACATATTTTGACTCGATTGACATCAAAACAGTTGCCTTTGGTTTTAGTTGATTCTTTTTTCTACTGCTTTGCGTAAAGTACTAAGTACTTACTTTACGCACTGTTCAAACGTTGAATTAGATTTCACACACTATTGCGTAAAGTGATTCACAACAACAAAAAAGTTTACTAAATTGTAGTTTCTTCGCAAAAATGCATAAATACCCACAAGTATAAAATTTTATGTTATAAAAGCCTTTACTGCCCTTTTTCTGCATTAGAAATGTGATTTTACTTCACACCTTAGATTGTGCACTAAGTTACTTGTTACTTTAGACACTAGGGCGTAAAGTTGTGGTATGTTTTTTTTCAAATTTATGGCATTCGAGCGTTGATCTATATCGCCCGCTTACAATATTGTAGTCCCCAGTACATCGACCCTAAAATTTTGTAACTCATGTACGCGCCAAACTTCCTGAGCGGCTTCATAACACCAAGTCGGACAATATTTTTCATATCTCCACCCTGGGCGATGGGACATTGCCGCGCTAGCTCTTCGTGAAGTTGTCGTTCTGACGTCCCTAAGGAAGTTGATACATGTACGTGTAGTTTCAATGCCAATCGACTGTTTATTATATTACATTAACGATATCACATTTGTCGGACAAAAACCATGTGGCTTTGGGGAAGGTCCGACGCCTTCAACATGTCGCTGTGGCGTCCCTGAGGAAGTTGATACATGTACTTGTGGTTTTGATGCCAATCGACTGTTTTCTATGTTACATTATTGCTATCACATAGGTCGGACAAAAATCACGTGGCTTTGGGGGGGTCCGACGCCCCAACATGTCGCTGTGGTGTCCCTAAGGAAGTTGATACATGTATGTCCGACAAAAATAATTAGAATAACAATGTAATTTTAAAACATGTGTAGTAAATGTCGGACAAAAAAAATGAGTATTAAAGTCAGTCGGACAACAAAAGTCCTTATGATCAATTTCTGCCGAAATTCATCACAAAAAACACGACTGAATATCCATTCTTTCTCACACGCGTGGTTTTGAATGACCGTTCACTAGATAATTTCCGTAAATACTCGGAGAACTTTCAAAAAAACAGATCAGGGAATATGACACAGGGCCCTACAGGTATTTGACAAAGTAGGTTAATAATAAACTGACTAATATGCACGTTGCGTTAAGGCAAACAAATTTTAATTTCTTCATTGATTGTCTCAAATTTCTTGTCCGACAAATGTGATATCGTTAATGTAATGTAAAAAACTGTCGATTGGTATTAAAAACACACGTACATGTATCAACTTCCTTAGGGACGTCACAGCGACATGTTGAGAGCGTCGGACCCCCCCGAAGCCACGTGATTTTTGTCCGACATATATGATATCGTTAATGTAATACAAAAAACAGTCGATTGGCATTAAAACTACACGTACATGTATCAACTTCCTTAAGGACGCCACAGCGACATGTTGGGGGTGTCAAACCTTCCCCAAAGCCACATGGTTTTTGTCCGACAAATGTGATATCGTTGATGTTATGTAAAAAACAGTCGATTGGCACTGAAACTACATGTACATGTATCAACTTCCTTAGGGACGTCAGAACGACAACTTCACGAAGAGCTAGCGCAGCAATGTCCCATCGCCCAGGGTGGAGACATGAAAAATATAGTCCGACTTGGTGTTATGAAGCCACTCAGGAAGTTGGGCGTGTACATGAGTTACAAAATTTTAAGGTCGATGTACTGGGGACTATTGTTGGTAGTAGAAAAAAAAATTATGCAACAGGTGTGTAAAGCTTCTTTTTTCATACATTCGTGAAAAAATGTTCACTTTAGACATCTGTTTATGTTTTATACCAAAAAAAACTCTAGTACCGATAATATAAAGCGATAAAGCCATACATTTGAAAACTTATACCGCAACTTTACACCCTAGTGGCTAAGTTAGTTCACAACCTAGGGTGTAAAGTAAAACCACATTTTTAGTGCAGAAAAATGGCAGCAAAGGCTTTTATCGAGGCTTTTAAGAAATAAAATTTCATACTTGTGGGTATTTATTTCATTTTTGCGAAGAAACTAATACAATTTAGGGCAGATAATAGAATAACTAAAAGTTAACTTCTCGAATGACTTTACTTCTCGTGGTAATTCCAGAAGTTAACTTTTAGTTATCTGTCAAAATAGTTTTATAATACCCGCCCTTAATAAACTTTTTTGCTGTTGTGAGTTACTTTACGCAATAGTGCGTGAAATCTATTTTCGCGTCTTTTGAACAATGCGTAAAGTAAGTACTTTACCCGCGGTAGTAGAAAAAAAATATTTGTTAGCTAAAACCAAAGGCAGCTGTTATTATGTCAATCGAGCCAAAAAATAAAGTTTTCACATCCTGCATAAGTTTATTTGTTTTTGATTCTTAAGTTATTTTTGACTAT